CCCCCAACCCCACCTCCACCTGCCACTGCTTGGACGACCTCTCCTCCCCCCACACCACCCGCACTTCCTATAGTACCCATAGCAACCGTGGCTGTCCTCGAAGTCACCAGGCCGCGGATGGGCACTTGAGCTGCAACTCTCAGTGTGTCGATGGGATAGGACGTCAGGATCCCGGCGGTCGATGCAAGCGTTGCCATCACGTTCCACTGCCAGTCTGGGAGAAGGAGAGTAACTTCACGCTCATTCTTCTCTGTCTTTTCCTCTGCTGGCCCGACCTCCCTCTGCCCTCTCCACCCGGGTACTGCAGCTCGAGGCTTCCTCCGGTCAAACAGATCAGCCAGCGCCCTGTACACTGCTCCCTCCACCGCCTTGGCTGAGAATAGTCGAAGGACATTGAGGAGATTTCCTCTGAAGGCACCTCTGTCACCCTCAGCGATTCGCATGGTGTCCAATAAGACCCGAGGGTCCTGCAGCGCCAGACTGGGGTCCACCATTTGCAAGATCTTTACCCTCTMTAAGGGAGCGACGAGGGTTCGACTCACYGCAGCGGAGATGCATGCAGCCAGCACATCTCTCGTAGTTTGCATCTCAGGGAAGCGGAGATTGGGCCTGGCAGCACGAGTCTCCAAAGCGAGGGGCAGGTTGCAATCCAAGTCCCCACCGAAGTCGATGGCTGCTCGAGCACGTGACCCCGAATCCAACACCTCCTCAGCATCCTTGGCCCAGAGGAGGTACGTCCGCAGATCTTCGAATCCAAACCCCTGGGAAGGCGCCTTGCCTACGYTGCGGCTGACCAACTGATCGTCCTRGTACACTTTCCTCGGCTTTATGTCAAGTCTTCTAAGGGCCTCCGGAATATCCTCCTTCGACACGAGGCCAGTGTGTCGTCTATCCAGCTCCCTGAACATGGTATGCAGGCGGTCCTCCATTCCCGTGACGAACTTGGCAAAGTCGTCCAACGTCACACGGTCGCCARCCTTCTCCASGAAGGCCTGCACCTCCTTGTGAGAGACTGGAAGCCTCAGTTTCTCTGCGGCTCTCCTCAACTCCTCCTCCCCGATAGCACCAGCCCGACTGGGATCCAGCTCCTCGAAACGTCGCTTCAGAGTCGAACTCCACCGGGACTCGTCCTTGTCATGGTTCTCATCATAACGGTGTCAAGCGGCCACAAGCAGTGCGCCGCCTGAAATCTACGGTTTTGCGACTTAGGCGCAAAGACGAGTCTGAGTTTTGACGGTACTCTGGTTAGACCAGGCAGCTGAAATTAGGGGAGCTCAGGGCGCCCTTGATTTTGGGCGCACTGAACCTTACGGGAAACCCTCAAAGATGGCGAGATGGGTGGTCGCCCTCGGCACATCAACGGACCGTCATTTCCGACCGTCCAGAGGGGTAAACCCGGATTGGCCTGCCGCGGAGAGGCATCGCGGGAACTGACCTCGCAGCCACATTTTTTGCGGCATACGACCGGGGCCGAAATGAGGCCTCAAATTTTTGTCCATTTTAGTACCATAATTAAAGATGGGGAAAAGGGTCGGAAAACATAATATCCCTTAATTTCTTTATTTTTAACGGCATTAAATTCAAGGGGGAATACCCTTGTTATTTTATGTTCCCGGCAATGGAATTAAAAACATAGAAAAAKATTAAAAATGGTAAAAGAGAAAAAATACAAAAGGAATTCGGCCATTTATTTAAATTTTCTCGGAATYTAATTTTGGGGAACTTACAGTTAATTTACTATTTCCGACAATAGAATTAAGAAAAGGGAAAAATGATGAAAAACGATGCAAGGGACGGGAACCCATGACCATTGGGAGATTGGCCTAATTTCGCCTCGAATACCCGTCATCAGCTCTGACTCCGGATTGATCATTTTCCCCTGCSACGCTTTCCCTGGTGTGCTTGAATACTAACATTACCGCAGTTGAGATGTTCTGAGAGCAGGAGTCGCATCGAHAGCATGGGGTGGTGCTGCCTTGGGTCGACTATGGTGTTTGGTTCGGTACGGATACGAGGGTCGTTACGGAGTGGCTACATCCTACGGTGTCTGACGTGCTTCAGGTACGGCATGGGCCCGGTGACAGCTATCTCACTACGGTGACTTATTTTCAGGTTTGAGACAGCTGCAGTGATTTATTCTGAGGACCGGGGCCACTCCGACAGTTATTCCAGGCGGCAGTTTGTTTTTAGGACCGGGAACGTTGCGGCATTCTATATCAGGTTCGGGACAGGTTATCATGGCATGATTGTACGGGTTCTGCATTCGCATGGCACAACAGCCCGGTACAGGACTTCGGGTTTGGTCAAGTTCGGTGGCATCGCGATGTTTCGTTTCAAGTTCGACGGCCTCACGACAGTTTATTTCGGAACCTCTGCCGTGATTTATTTTCAAGTCCGGGATCATTGCGACGGTTTACTTCAGGTTCGGTACTATTACCGCGCCGCTGCATCTTGTCGTGTTCGACATGTTTCAGGTACGGTACGACGAGCCTGTGAGACCGGTACCAGTGTTTTTTTTTTCCTCCGTGGCGCGGCGGACTATTTCCTGCACACTTGCAGTCCGAGAAGGCCCTGGTCGGTCAGACCATGGGACTGAAGCGGATATAGGGGAGAACAGTGAAGGAAATGAGATGGCATGCCAGGCGTACCCAGCGCACCGCTGACTCGAGATGCAGTGAGCCGGGAGGAATTCGGCGCGGGGCGGTTGCAGGAGAGGCAAGGCGGGCGAGGCGCACCCAGCGAAGCGGGAAGTGGAGTCCATCGTGCACGACGCGCTCGAGGGAGAGGGTAAACGAGACAGTGTGTACTGCGTCAAGGGTACTCTTCGAGAGGAGACTGACTTGAGATAAGCTTGTTTAAGGGGGACATTCGGCAGCTGGGCGACCAGGGAGAACAGGGACTGCAGCGCGCGAGCTGTGACTGCAGGGAACGCAATGAACAAGTGTGCCGGAACAGCGGACCAGGAGTCCGCAGCGGAGATGGTGTTGGATCATGCGTGTTTGCGTGAGAAAATAGGCTGAGGTCATGGCGTGTGTGGGAGTTGCAGTGAGATGGAGCCTTTCCCCCCGCAAATCCGTGGTGAAGAAGGTGAGAGAGCGAGAGAGTGAGTAAGAATGAGGAAAAAAGAGTGAGAGTGAGTGAGAGAGAAAGAGCGTGCAGCGAGAGAGAGAGAGAAAGAGTGAGCAGTGAGTGGGAGAGAGAGAGAGTGAGAGTGAGTGAGAGAGAAAGAGTGTGCAGCGAGAGGGAAAAAGTGAATGAGGGAAAGAGAGAGGGTGCACTGGTTGAGAGAGAGAGTGCGCCTAGAATGAGTGGGAGAGTGCGTAAGCCAATAAAAATAAAGATCTAAAACCTGCTGTCTCACCACTAAGCAGCTGTGATCAGGAACGTTGAAATCAATCTGCTGAGAATGTCTAGGGTAACTGTAGTTCCCGTCCAGCAGCGCTGGATCGCCGTCAGGTATCCAATCTGAGGCGCTGATTAGCCGCTGGCTCACTGACTATTGAGCCGCTAATTAGCCCTTGAATCACTGAAATGCAGGGAATTACTCAAAATTGAGTTGTTGATTGGTTTGCTGTTTCGCTGAGCAGTCAAGATCGGTGATCAACAGCATGATCAATGTGAATCAAGCCATCAGGTTCGCTCATGGAAGCACTAAAAATTGAGTGGTTGATTCGTTTGTCGGTTTGCTGAACAGTCAAGTTCGCTGTTCAACAGCAGGACAATGTGCATCAAGTCATCAAGTTGGCTTATGGAATTACTCAAAATTGAGTTGTTCATTGGTTTGCTGGTTCGATGAACAGTCGAGCTCGCTGATTAGCAGCAGGACCAGTGTGAATCAAGCCCTCAAGTTGGTTCCTCGGATTTAACCGAAATTGAGCTCCTAATTACATTGCAGGCTCAGGTCGCGGTCGTATGTCAGCCAAAGACACTGTGCGCAGTGTGTGTGTGTGTGTGTGTGTGGTGTGTGTGTGTGTGGTGTGTGTATGTGTGTGTGTGTGTGTGTGTGTGTGTGTGTGTGTGTGAGAGAGAGAGAGAGAGAGAGAGAGAGAGAGAGAGAGAGAGAGAGA